AAATGCCTAAGTACCTAATATTATGAAAATCCTCAGCAAATCTGTCTAGCTAGATATCTGTATCTTGAAGTACCTAGTGCTGAAATGACCAAAGTTCACAGTCCCCCAACACTCTCTTACAAATACTACTGGAAGTCTGGCCTTAAGGAGCCAATGGTTTTTTAAAGACTTAGAGAGTTTGGCTCAGACACTGAGCAGGATTTACATGGCTATAGGATATGTAGATACTTTCCTGTCTTAAATCTAGCTCTCGGTATACATACTGCTGTTTCCCTGCTTTTTTATGGTTGTGCTTTTCTGTAGCTTATATTGAGTGGTATGAAAACACCAATGCTACTTTGCTGGCATCTGTAAGCTGAAAAAAAAGATAAACACTAAAAAGAGCTTTTTGATAAAGCCATATCGACAGTAATTGAAATTACATGCTTAATCAAAAGTACTGCAAAAGTACTAGCAGACTGTATAGAGGCCTCTTCGCTAAATATATGTTGACCTAGTAGAAATCAGTATCTATTGAAAAAAGATTAATTGAAATTTGTAAGCAGAATTTACAACTGTGAGCTGTTCCTCAAGGGGCTCCTCAGTTGTATGAAAAGTATCATGTACCAGGAAAAACATTTCAGAAACTTCAGCTAAGAAATAAAGAGCATGCAGCTCCATCCCTTAATTCATAATACGACCTTTTGCCCTGAAGACTTCTAATGCATCTCCTAAGACTTGCAAAGACTCATACTGATTGACTCGGCTTTGCAGGGTAAGGACAACACACAGTCATTTGATTCACTTTGTGCAGTTCAAATGGCAAGAGGACAGTCATTTAGCAAAAAAATTATATATTAACACAGCTTCCCCCCAAAAAACACTGTACTAAAATCATTATTTCCCTCTTGTCTCATGAGCAATGGCACAAACCTGTTTGCTTTGCTTGCCATACTGTGAATTACAGCAACATAACATTGTTGGCAGTTATTAGAAGCACTTCTCTGTCAGTAGTAAAGCTTGCTCATTCAGTACCTACAAGTAAATAGGGGTCTGTTATTGCATTAAAGGACATTAAAAAGGAAATTGTCAACTGCACACTGCCCACTGAAAGAGCCAGGCACTGAGGATTTAAGGTTGGCTCTTCCTTCTCATAGTAGCACTAACAGCTATGACAACAACACAGCATTTGCATTGTCTAGAATAAAACCCTGCTCGCTCGAACAAAAAGAGATGTAACAGCATCTGATCATATCTGAAAGGCCTTTTCTCTGTATTAGTCTTGTTACAGGTACTCACTGGATGTCAAGTCTCTTTGCTGTGACTTAGTGGTGTGAGGTTTCATGGATACAAGCAGACTAGTCAGGCAGCAGCCACTTGGACACCTGTCACCAGGAGCCCAAAGTGCTGAAAGCCCAAGGCCCAGATTTACTTTCCTGACAGGCTGTGTCACAACAGTTGCTTCATGCTGCCAGCATTTATATGTCACTGGCAGGTCTGTCTGGAAAACAAAAACTGTATTTCATCACAAACACTCAGACTCTGACATTTAGTTCTGTTCCACAAAGAGGAGGATACCAAGAACTTTCATGGAAAAATTCTGAAGCAGCATGCAAGCTGAACATGCTTTTCCAGAATAGCCAAAGCAGTTTCCTGGGATATGAAAGACAAAGAAGAAAAACTTCTTCGGAAATAGGACTACAAATGCAGCTGAAAGCAGTCCTGCTGAATGGCCACAAGTCATTGAATCAGTCACTTTGCCCCCATCAATGCTTAAGTACCCACTGTGTCCATGAAGAAGAAACCCAGCAAGACAGACAGCAATAATGTTTAAAAAAAATCATTCAGGTTCCCGTTCCAAATTACAGTAAGCAGATCTTTATGCCTGGCAACTGTGGGCAAGAATGACAACTAACTAGCTGTGTAGAAGGGCTTCCTTTCTCTTGTTGGCTCTGGCCAGAAATATCATATCGAATCTGAAGTAAACCTAGTTTTGAAAAAATTCTGATTCAGAGTCTCATCAACCCTCTGGATTTGAGAGAGGATTTTCTCCTCTTCTGAACACCAACTGGAACGATTAAGGAACATCACTGAATAGACTCAAAGGCGGTCAGGAAGAGAAACCAAGGCTAACAAAAATCTCAGCAGCAATATAAAAAGCAAAAGGACAGCAATTCAAGGGAATTTATGTTTTCATTTATTATCATAGTACCTTTCGCTACTCAGAGGGAGATTGAAAATAAATGACATGCTCAAGTGAAATACTGAATGGCTCAGGTTTTTGTGTTGTGAATATAAAATCACATCTGCTTTAAAGTACTCTGGGAGAACTAAAGCTTCAGATGAAATTCTGTTTTCGTTTTCACATGAAGACCCTGCTGCAATAGCAACAGGATATATGCTTTAGAGATCAGAGAAGACAGTTCTAGGATGATTTACTTTAAATCACTTGACTCACCCCACACCAATAAGCCTACAGCCAATCTACTGGCTGAGAATTTAGACCCATTAGAGAGTTCTGTACTGTTAGGTTTAAGCTTCAAAGCACTAAGCTGTACAACCCATGTCTTAATTCACAGATGGATTAAAAAAATGGCTAAAGTATGGAAGGAACTATATAGATTTAGACCAAGCATTCTAACCCAGGATACCATCTCTGACAACAGACAGTACTGATGATTAGGAATCATGTTTAGGAGAGATTTCTCCTAATAATGGTCATAGTTTAAAAAATCTCCTCAGCCAGAGGTTATATGGGGACTGCACTATTTGCTGGTCATATAATGACAACAAATTTCTCTAATGACAATTCCATAGCATCCCAAAGCAACAAGCTGCATGCAGCTTAATTATACCTGGTGTAGAGAAAGCCTTCCTTTTACTTGCCATTTCTCTCCCCAGCTAGAGAGTCAATCAAATTAGTCTCTTCTCAGGCTGTAATATGGAGCTTTTTACCACCTGGTCAGTTGGGTTAATACCCTAATAGAGATTACTTGTGTATGTTTCACAGGCTAGAGCCAATCTCACCTAAATACCAGTCTCACTGTCACTGAGTGAAAGGGCTGAGTGATGTGGAGGGGTGACCTTCAGCTGTGGGCCAGCTCCTTTGTGGCTGAGGAAGAAGTTTGAGGCACCAGGGCATGGTGTGAAGGGGAAAAGGGTCTCACACTGATTTGCCATGGTACAGCTTCTGTATATTGTAGCCACACTATCACAAATGTGGTCTTCCTCCTCTACTGGTTGAGTCACTTATTACCCTGTTTATCCTTCAGAATAACCCTTGCCCTTTCACGGCTCACAGATGCCCTGAAAGCCCTCCTGTTGTTGATCCAAGAGAGGTGAGTCACAAAAGCTGTCTAAGACAGGCTGAATTTGATGGCCCTCCAAGCCCTCTGCAAGAGCCATTTGTTGGGCAAGTTGACAGGTTTTCAGAGATAATGGTAATTTATGCAATGACAATTCGTGTGTGTGTAAATGAGCCACATTTACATTTGCTGCTGCTAAACAACCACTTTCTAGAGTTGCTGAGTGTATTATGTTGTTTGAAGGTTTAGCACATGTCATCATGCCATGAACTCCTGGGTCAGCGTTGTACTGTGATACAAAAAGCAGAAGCACAGAAACAACAGTGAACACAGGCTTGGAAATTCAATCTGTAAATGCTCCCAGGAGAAATTAGCCCATACTGAGCTCTAGACTACTGTGACATGACAGCTACTGAGATCCCAAAAGACACCATTTGGGGGATCTGTGCCCTTCTGCCACAAACTGCTATGTGTGAAAACCACAGGAAGGATTAACAATCCCTGAAGCACCAACCATCAGCAAACAAGGACTACAGACTGCTTGGCTTGTGTCCAATAACCTCTGAAACCATATTTAAAAGGATGGACATCCAAGAGACATTGTGCTCCTTAAGTCCCTGCTATTTTCAGGGGAAGTCTTGTCCCAGTACATATGAAGTCCCACAAAGCCTTTAACTTAAGCTTCGCAGGTGCCTTCAAACACTTCCTCTTTGTGACCCTCCTCCACCCTCCCCTTTCCCTCTGTCCCCCTCACCCCTCAAATAAAAACCTCCTTAAAACTTTATTTTCTTAACACATATGACTATTTTTTAAACACATCATAGTTCAAAACACACAGCACACCAGGGGGTCTAAATAGATGCAGACAGAGCTAGGCAGGGCAGCCAGATTGGGAGGTGGGCTTGCAGTAGGCTGGCAACACTCATACACCACCCCAGAGGTACACAGATCTTAGGAGTAAAGGTCTGGTTACTCTACTATGATGTATAGCCAGCTGTGACCATTGCCAGGACATAAGAATACAGGTTGTGGGCAAAAAAAAATGAATAAAACTTACCAACCCTCAGGACTGAAAACTGTTATTCAGAAGCACTTTATTAATGAAGCTGGAACACCCATGAAGAATCAGTGGTGTTTCTATTCTTACTATTCACAGGAGGGTGAAGCAGAAAACAGAGGGTGACAGCATAAATTAACTTTCACCTACGCCACACTGCAGGAGAAGGTTGCTTTCCTCAATTTCTATTTAGGAAGGCACCCACATGACCAACTGAGCTTACTGCCTCATAGTGACCCTGAGGTGCTGTGGCTGATTTAACGAAATGAAAGAGAAAATGATGTGTCTAACTGTGTGCAGCAGATCAGTAGCAGAACTGAGAGCCCAGACCACTGCCTCCCAGTCTTCTCCTAGTGGCAACCTACCGGCAACTCTCACTGGTTTTTCCTCCTTCTTCATGTTCTTACAGAGAATGAGTTATAAAGTCCTTGTACTGATTCACATCCATCTGAATTTAGCTATTCTTTGCCAACGACACTGATTGTGTGTACCTAACCACAATGCTTTGCACTGAAGAATGTATGTCTGAAGTTTTTTATATGATGAATCAAAATCCACCCTTGTACTCCTACCAGGTACCATTGACTGGAAAGTAAACCTAGTATTTTGATATACTTGATGTGTTTGTGCTTATGAAGTCCACATAGACATACCTGGCAAATGACAAAGAGAAACTCTTTTCCCTTCGCTTTCTGCCAGGTAAGCAAGACTTCCTCTTCCTTAGTAAGCAAGTTGTGTTACGATCAGCATGGGACATGCATATATGAGTTTTATAGCTTTGGTGATTTATTTCCAAATCTCTTGTTATTACGTTAAAATATCACTGAAAGATATAATGGTTAATGTTTGTGTTTGATATGCTTGCTTCATCTAAATTAAGAACAGTTTGTTGATTACAATTTCAAATGCTGAAAGAGAAACTTCAAGCTACAGCAACTATGTCTCCAGCTATTATGAAGATATCTATCTTTCACACACTATACACATAATAACCAGACATTCTGTAGCAAAAAATTAGGTGTCAGGTGATAACTCTGAACACAGTCCAAAATAAAACTAGATTTACTAATATAGTTAAATACATGATATCAATTATATTAAAGCTCACTGAAACAATGTGTGCATGTGCAATCCTTGAAATTAGAGCAATTTTAGAAATATTCTAAATGAAGCTGCTTTATAGGAGTGAGTAAGTCACTGTCACGTTCAGTTGGAGATGGTAGCTTGAACTGCCAATCCACTGGCTAGAAATCTAAAAGCAGCAGATCCTACCCTCTGCCTTCCAATAAAAAGGGTCTACCACATGCCCTTGTCTTTTGACAACACCCTACACAGGAGATCTATCCCCTGGCAGATGTCAGAAGAAATTTCATCCCCATCCTCTAGCTCTGACCCTACAATGAACTTTCTGTACCTGTACCAAGTCCTCCATCACCAGATGCTGGCTGGAAATAAGATTTTAATGAGGTCTGAGCCCCTCTGTATGACAAACTGTCTTTCAAGGTTACATGATAAATGTCATTGTCAGTGCTGTGGATTACATTCCTTAAATTACATGACAAAACCAGGCAGCATGGAAGGAAGATGGTCATATCTGTCAATATGTATGTGTATAATTGCTTTTTAAATCCTATTGCTTTTTAAAATTTCTTGTTATGATGGGAAGGAGAAAAACCTGAAAGTATACACATCTACTTGTCTTGTATGACTATAAATAGGGGAGAAAAAACCAAAGAGTTATCAAATGCTGTCCATATTCGAGTAGCTAGATAATGTACATAAAAAGGCCTAAAGGCCTTTATTTTAAATCCTGTAGTTTCATGAATGACATACATTGTTTAGACTGTAATTAGAATGGGAATTGCACCTTCTACTACCCTGACTATTCACTCAAATAAAACCAGCATTTGCTTTGGTTGCATTCACATTCATTTTCTGCTCCCCCTCTATGGGTACTTTTGGCAAGTGAATTTCCTGGCAAGGATGTTATGGAAGCAGCAAGTTTTAATTTAACATCGGAGAACATAGACAGAAGGTGTACGGTAAACTCATAAACGCAACTAGCAGAAATTTGCTTTAAAGAACTACTCTCATTATACTCTGGACTCAGTAAAGTGCTGAGGAACATACTTACCTTCAAGCATTTTATGAAGTCCCTTTGAAATCTCTGTTTTAATATTTTCCTGAACTGGAACCTCCATCTGGGGAGAGAAACAATACCTTGCTATAAGTGATGTGTCTAATAAAAATGAATCAGCACAGCTTGCATTTTGATTGCCAATTACTTACAATCAACTGCTTAGAAAAACTCTATGATCAAGAAAATGCTTAGAAATATTCATTAAAAATATTTGTGAACAACTTCAAGTGTATACAGGAAAGAATATGTATAAGCAAGTTCAATTGCATATAGGAAAGAAAACAAAGTTGTTGCTAAAGAAGCCATGAGGTGATACTTCAGGTAATTTATTAATTTCTTTTCTATCAGTGATTTACTTAGGTCTTATTGTAACGCTATATGAACTAAAAATTCAGTTTGCTGTTTGAATCTTTAACAGTACAATTAATACCACTGGCTAGTTTGGGAATATGTTACAATAAAATGTTTTATTTGAATGCATCTATATTCACCATCAAAAAACTTCATTAAGTCTCAGTTACAACTGCTACTCAGAGTTGAAGTTAGAATGTATCATAAATACTGAAGAAAAATTAAGCCTATAAAAAGCATGGCAAGTAATAGAAAGGGAAGCAAGATAAATATTCAAAGACATTTCCATTTCATGCACACTTCTGAATAACTGTGAGAGTGGAAAGTACCAAAAATACTAAAACAGGCATTAAAAAATAACTCTGACCCTAAAATCTGGCCCTCAATCAAGCTCAAAGAACATGCTTACTCAGCACCTTTGTTATGAGAGGATATTTAAAAGGTTCAAAGACAGAAACATTCAAGTTCCAGTGAAAGCTGAGAGGCTTTGCAAACCTAATTCTCATTTGGGTCCTAAAAATCTTCCCCTGCTTCTTGAGAAGCTGGATAAAAGAGTAAAGACAAATTAAAAGTTAAATTGCCCTGTTGCTCCAGACACCTCTTTTTCAAAAAGCATTTTTTAAAAAATGAAAGTTTAAGAGAAAATTCCTATTTTAATAGAATTGTTTCAATCTTTTGATGAAGGCTAAGAGGAAATGGAACATTTTGATGGGCCTTCTAAAGTCTGAAAAATAGGGGCTTTTTTATGGAAAATAAGTACCACTCCGTTAGAAGTACGCCTCTGTTTAGTTCAGGGGCACACCCACCCGAAGGTCACCCCATCACCTAGAGTGCTGCCTGAGTTTTCTGTCTGCTGTTGCTAATTGAGCAACACTTATGAAATCACTTCACTTGCATCCAACTGCAAAGATTTTAGCTGACCTTAAGGGCATATCCCCTTTCTCTCAAAGTTACTAACAGAGATCAACCCACCATGTATACACCATTGACAGACAGAGAGGAATACTTTAGGTAGTGTTATGGGAGCTGTGTCACTGCTTCAGAAAGTATTTATCCAATGGATGCATATAAAAGGTATATTCGGATGTATCTCGTTCAATCACAAAGTAGATGCAAGCATGGACAGAAAGATCAATAAAAAGTTTTATTGCTGATTCCAAATTTTGCTGTTGTCTCCTAAATGTAGCAGGTCATAGCACATTACAGTTCCTTGTCATGCTGAAACCACAGTCAAATTCAAGGCACATTTTACCACAAAAGACAAAAAAGCTTTCACTGCTGTTCCTAGTGACTTTCCTGTTGTTGTCTTATAGTGTGGGACCATTTACTGTTCTATTATTTCTTTCTTAAGAGAAAAATATCATTTGTATTAAGTAGGTGACAAAAACTTTAACTTCTTTTAAGGAGGAGAATGAAATTAGGAAGAAGGGGAATTGGATAATGGCTGTATTATTCATAGGGATGCATACCTAATTTATATAGTGCTGCTAGTATGCCTTCTAAATTTGCTGTAACTTCAATTAAGCCCATTTAAGTAATGAAAAGAACTACTCTACTGTGTCTGAATATTAATTTCATGGTCTGTTTTACGTATCAGAGAGTAAAAACATATTCCCAACTCTTGGAGTCATTTTACAACAATTACTGGCAAAACTTTCCAAGGTGCAAAAGTCCATCCAAACTATATTACTCCTAGATGCTATGATCAGATTTCTAAGTACTGGACAGGACCTTGGGACAAAAATATCACAGAGAGATGAAGTCTGCATTAAAGTATTTAGTTGTCTGTCTGGGGGATTTGGTATTTTAGTCACGTTAACCAGCCCTCAAGACCCAGATTTTCTGCAAAAATCAAACCCTGTAAGTGTCCCTAAACTGGAAATCCATAAAATCAGGTAACAGCTTTGAAACTCTTTAGAAAATACAGAACAATTAATAAATAAAAGCTTACATCAAGTTTTTCGAAAAGGATGTTAAATGAGGCTAGACAATCTCAGTTCAAGACAACAAATAGCATTCATATTGGGAACCAGTTTTGGACAGAGGGTAATGTGTGTATTTTTGAAAGACAGCATAAGGAGAATGAAAAATTATTGAATGGCATACTAATCAATGTTTATTTCTGCATTTTAACCAACTCCAGAATGCACAGTACGTATATATCCCACTACTCTTGATGCTCTGCAGATTAGTGTGCATGCTTAGCTGAAAGCAAGCAACTCCCACACTTATTACCGCAATGAAGTGGGTGCGTAAGCCTTTACAGGATGGAGTCCAAACTCATCAAGGACACAGAAGGACTGAAAAAAGAACTGCAGAAGGAGTGATAAGTAACTGTGCAAGTAACTCTCCATGTAGTTAATGACTTCAACCATGTAGGAACTCAAGCATCTGTTATTTGTGTTAGTAGTATTCACACACACAAGCATTTGCACCTCTTTTTCCAATGCATTAGTTCTTTGCTAAGTCATATGCAATTAATTCTCTTTAACTTTCTCATTTTTTTATCCCTAAAGCTACCTTTAGCAGGCTATTTCTCCTCTTCCTATCTAGCAATAGACAAATCTATTGAGCACAGTTATGACAACATTTTGGAAAGCTTGAAACTTTACTAAATATATCACAACAGTAAATGTGACATCCAGCAAGCAAGAGAAGAAAGAAGCTAAAGGTAAGATCAATATGGTGGGAGTTAGATATGCAAAGAGTTGGGATCTCATCACCTGCATCTCTTGCGTAAGACAGAAGCAGCCCATCTGACTCTGATTAGACAGTCCAGGTCCTATCAGGAGTTTCACAGGAAAGTGAGGTGATTTGAGGGTCAGTGCTGACACACTGCTTGCCCTTACGTTCCTCAGGGAAATGAAGTCATCAAGACTGGAGAGACATTGGCATATATGTTCCTCATTTCTTAAGACTTGATATTCCTGGATTGGTACTTTTTCTTGGTGGTAGAATGATTTCCAGACAAAGAAAACATTAAGCAGCAAGTAAGAGCAATATTCTTTGGATTTTGGTGCCTCAGAAGATGTCCTTTGTGCTTCACACTGTTATCAAAAGAAATAAAACAGACAAAGGAAGGGAAAAATTTCCCCGTCATAACAGACCATATAATGAATGGTCTGTTGAAGAAACCAGGGAGTAAAGAAAGCAAAAATGGATACATCCCATCTTTTTCTAGATCTTCTAGTGCATACAAATGCTAAAGTTGTCAAGTCAGCTTTCAGTCTTACCCACTGACCTCAGAAATGTGTGCCCCTACATAGATATGTTTTTGGCTTTCTGATTAAGATCCATTTCCTGTACCTCAAACCTTCCCTGTCATAAATCGTTTAGCTTCATTTTTCTATTGTCCCTTCAATTGCTGCTTGTGTATGGATGCGATTCTCTTCCTGCTTAGGTAGGCAGTTATGAAAAAGGAGCTTTTAAAAAGAGCTCCTTTTAAAAAGAGCTAGTGTTCTCAGACATGATCTCCCACTGGCCAGGTCCTACAGCCTTCAGCTTGTCTTTATTGGAGCAAGGGAAACATCCAAAATCCTGCAGTTTAGCCATGCCTGGAGGGGGATTGCTCTAGCCCTCCTTTCGGACAGCCAGGCTTGGAGGTTGGGCTTTTGATATAGGCAGCCCCTCCAAAGGAGGAGTTACAGAAAAAAAATAGAGCTCCTGCTCCAGCATGTTCCTCACAGTGCCCACGCAGAGCTGCACAGTAGCTCAGGAAATGCGGTACCTGGCAACAGACCATGGGCTTTGTACCAGGGTTGCCAGGCCTCAGGACAGGGATGTCTCTGGTTGGTTTTTTTGGAATGTATCTTGACTGTTTTTCCTAGAGGGGTTTGACAGAACACCAATTTTTATGAAAATCTGAGGACAGTAGGGCCAGCATGGAAGAGTATAGGGTGAAAAATACAGGTACAGTCCATCAAGAATTTGATCATCTTAGAGGGTGAAGCTGGGACAGGGGAGCCAGGAAGGGCAATCACAGCCAATACATGAACATAAGACATAAAATACCTGAAAGTTTAATGCCCAGTGCCCCAACCACATGTCAAGATCTAAAGCCCTCTCCTCGTCCATCTAAGACATTTAAGCCTCTGCTGCTCCTTTGATTGGGCTCTGGGCTTACCAGCAGCATGGCAATGACCGTGAGACTGTTTCCATCACCAGCTCTGGGCTAATTCAAGCACTGTTAACAACAGTGCTGCAGCAGGACAGACCAGAATACAAGCTGACAAGTGTAGTGTTGCTGAAGTCAAGTGGTCACTATCATGGCAGCTGCAAGAGTGAGCATGTTTAAAGCAACAGCATCTTGACCATACGGCCATCTGATGCCTTACTTTATGCACATAGGCATCAAAAACTGCAGTAGGGGCCTTAGAGAATGAATTTGCAAGATTCTGCCTATATTGCCAAGCCTTCAAGCATTCCCAGTCATTACCTAGATACTGCTACCAAAGAGAAGTGAAAGGTAGTGATGACTAAAATATAGAGAAAAAAACCCCTAACAACAATTATATATTAAATACTTGTTAAAACTCATTTAGAAGTACAGGAGTAAACAGTTAAGGTCACTCAAGCTGATAAAAAATGTGATTGTCTCACATTTGTACCAAGAAAACTTTAAACTAAGCAAGACTGCTTTGTACAGTATTAAATAGAGGTCGAGAATCAGATACACACGTTTATCACAAGATGAATGGATTATAAATAGAC